GATTCGAAGTACTGTATAAGAACTGCATTAATTTTACGAACTGCTCGTGCGAGAGGAGGATGCCGCATGGAAAGGTTATGTCTCTGAACACTGAGAACCGCACTCGTGTTTGTTTCTAGCACAAACCTATTCTGTTGGCAGACACTAAGAGCGAGAATCTTGGACATGTGAAGAGACCGTGGATGCATGTTCCAGCGAACTTATTATTATGATTATTTTTATGAAATGACCCAAAGGCAATTTGCCTATCGAGGGGTCCATTTTATTGAAAGAACAGTACATGTAGATGTATGTACAAAGACAAGTAGGGATTGATGAGGAGAGAAATGGGGAAAATCAACTGCGAGGTGGCGGAATTCCGTTGATTGCATCAGCATGGTCAGCTGTAAATTTCCTGAGGGCAGCTTTGAACTTATAGAGCGAGGCTTCCGATGTTAGACTGGGGGGTAAACAGTTCCATAGAATAGCAGTTCGGAACATGAAGAGAGACTTAGACAATGATTTTAATTTGGGAAGAATGATTTTTTTTGGTCGTCGCTCACTATTCGTAATCTTGAAATGGAAATCAGCACGGTAATCACGATGATGGCAAACATATCTGTGAAAAGTAGTGAGACTGATGATTTGACGACGATAGGCTAGTGACTCTAGGGAGCATTTAGAATTTAAGACAGATTTGGAAGAAGTGTAATCAAATGCAATAATTTGAAACTCAGATGACTGTATATAGTATCCAGTTACAGTGATGGAGAGTTACTCTCAACTCGTATCCCTATGTCCTTTTTCTTTCTAAGGCCACCCTTTGTTAATTCATTGTTTAACGTCCTTTTTTTCGCGAAAAGGTACGCGGGAGGGCGAAAAAATAACAAAAGCCCATTCCAAAAACTGGAAACCCCAATCAAACATTTTGACCAGTAAAGCATGTGATATATACAATATTTCTGGGTCTAACGGCACTTGCAGGCATAGAACAACACTCTTTGATGGTACATTGGAGCACATGCCTGATGAATCCAACAAAACAGGTACATAGCATGGAGGTAGCATGTCATGAATTCATTACATCTGGATTTTTACTAGGACACACACCGTACGATATTTAATAGCCAACAAAAAAAGAAAAATAACACAAGACAAAGACATGCCCGGGAGGCAAGATTATAAGTTTAAGGTCATGATCGGCACCCTGTGAAACTACACAATCATGTATTTACAACTTCGCATATTATTGGCACTACTACTTTCTTGTTTTTTTTTCCGGTCGAAGGCAAAAAGGTACGCGGGCGCGGACGTTAAACAACGAAAAAAGAAAGGGTGGCCTAAATGCAATAGTATTGGTTTTATCTGTTAAAGACTAACCACCGACACGTGGCAGGTGAGATAGCACATGCTTTGATTTTGAGAAATTAAAATGTAAGCTTTACTTGGAAGAAGCGTTATCTCCGTGAGACGGGGGGGGGGGGGGGGGAGAGGCTCCGTTGGATGTATATGACTTCAAGCTCTTCGCTTTGCCACGCACCGGGATGCTAGGACCTGCAAGCTGTTTCCCGACTCACACGTCCACCATATGCTCACTCAACGTTTACCTCCCCAAGCTTCCTCTGCGTTTATATCGCTGACATGACCAGTAGAGGATGGGCAATGTAGATGCTAGCGATATGTGAATTGCGCGCCTGCAGGCGCGAAAGAGATAAATCCTTGCTTGACATTGATGGCAACGATGACATGACTATGATAGGTTCAGTTGCCCGCAGAGGCCGTCTGGGGCCGCGCTCGCCAATGCTACGCAGCAAAACTGGCACAGATGAGTGTTGGGTTCGGCACGCGATAGGTCCTAAACAGTGCGCCCGTAAATACCTGAATGACAAGCAGGTTTTCCAGGTCTTGGCGATTGACGACAGCGAAAATGCGTACGTTCCACGTGCCGGGATGGCCCTAGACAAACAAATGTCGTCTCTGATCTGCAGATCACGTTCCAAAAATCTTTCCTGGAGATAGGGGCGGATGGTGTCAGCACTGATAACGGCACAATCATGCATTCCCCCAGTGAGAGAGCTATCCCTAGTTCTAGTAGTAGACTATAGTTTAAACTCCACATCCCAGGTATATACTAGAACACTCGATCTGCGGACAGCATGCTGTTTCGTTCTTTTTGAACTCAGCAGCGCAGCACAGAGAAAATGAGGCCGAACCTGATAGCAATGGAAATAAAAAATTCCAATCAGGCCCGAACGTACCTTGCCAGAGTGCTCAAACTGACAAGTCAGTGAGCTCTGCATAACGCAAACAGCAAAGGCACTACCCCACGCAAGAGTGCTCAACTGCTACAAGAGCAGGAGCGAAATACTCAATCTGCGGACAGCATGCTGTTTCGTTCTTTTTGAACTCATCCGCGCAGCACAGAGAAAATGAGGCCGAACCTGATAGCAATGGAAATAAAAATTTCCAGTCAGGCCCGAACGTACCTTGCTAGAACACTCGTGTAGGAGTACAGGATAAGTTAGTGTTTTTTTTTGTTGCCAAAGTGGCAATAAGTACACTCATAGCATGGTATGAACTTCAATGTTCGTCCTGTTGTACCCGATGGAGGTCTTACTCAGAGGTAGTGTGCAATTTCTGCACCTCTCCGTGCAATGCTATCACCATTTCGAAAACGCGCATTTGGACGTGATCGACACCATCGATCTGGGAAATTCTGGGGGGGGGGGGGGGGGGTGTTGATTGTAGCCAGAATGTTTCGTACGCAGGCGCAACCAAGAATCAAGTGGTGTCTGACCCAAGTTGATCCTGTAATGTACAGTAATGCAGTCATGCTCTTAGTTACTCAGTCTAAGGACAAGTCGCCTGGTGATTGCTTTGAGCAAGAAACTTTGAGTTGCGTCAAAATATAGAAACCTCCATTGTCCCTTTCGTTTGTTCTGTAAAGATATTGTATTCACTATACTAGTAGACACGAGCAAGTCAATCTGGGTAAATAGGTAGGTAGGGTAATTTTGCAGACCCAACCGGGCGGTGTCGGCAAATTACATGGAAGCGATTTTGATGCGATTTCCCCAATCTCGAATGCCTGTTAGAATGTATTTCCTGAGAGCGTAGAAATCGAAAAGAATGAAATAACGTCTGAAGTCAATCTTGACTGCCACCACCACCACCAGGTGAATCGAACCAGAGATCTGTGACGTTATGCAGGCGCTCTAACAACTGAGCCTTGGCGAAGCCAGCATCCCAACAGAAACCGTTCAACATTTTTTTCAGACTCTCGTACTATTATTCTCAGCACCCTTGGGATACAGCGCGTATGAATTGCTCTAGTCATGTGAGTTCTCACTGCCGCTCGGCAAACATATTCAATTTGCAGACCAAGACAAAACGCTGTCAGTGTAGTGTTTCCCGAACATGCACAATGAAGCAAACCCATGCTTTGAATGGACATGCACGATGTTCATGTCACTCGACTCCCGGTCCAATACACAACCAATTCTTGATCTTATCCGCACACATTGTGCGAGAGTGGAGCGATAACCAACCATAGGGCAAGATAGAAAGTCATGATATCACTGAATGTCCACGTGAAAGGAAACAAGAGACTACTATAGATTGAACTAACATGAAGGTACTAGGCACGATTCCTATAATATCCACACGTACACTATGTACAATGGTGTATACCAGGCGATAGGGTGAATTCTCAATGAATGCAGGGAATGAATAATCAGAAATACGGGTCAAGTCAAGTAACTCAACAGGGAGCTGTGTTTGGAATCAAGTGGTGGACGCACAAATTAAACTGAGTAGAGAACAAATAATTATTATCATCTGCCCGTGGGAATGAAATACAACAACTAACGGATTATGTAAAAGTCACTCCGGTTCAGACTTCCCCACAGTGGGACACAGCGCCGCCGCCATTGCACTGGAGATTGCCTGATCGCCGGCATTGCTCAGAATGATCTTCTCTCTGACTTGCTCAAGCTTGTCCCTGAGCGCTTTCTCTTCTCGCCGAAGAGCGGCGTTCTCCCGTCGGAGCTCTGTGGCGAGTCGCTCATTTCGGCGCAGCTGCTCGCGTTGCACCTTCTCTGGGCTCGGTGCTGCCGACGGTCGCCGCCGGCGGCGCGTTGGCCTCGCCGGTGGTGATGACTTCAGCATTGCGTGCATGGGATGGTTTTGCACGGACGTCTCCTCCTGTTCGGGCTTCACCACGACGGAAGGTCCAACTGCGATCAGATCACTGATCAGGTCTCCCAGAGTGGCGGCAGGATCGGACCGATAGTCAGTGGACGAGATCACACTCAGCGAGCTAGCACTGCTTGCGCTGGATAGCCGTTCTCTGTATGGAGCGCGAAATGCCTGATGATACTCGTTGCTGGTGGACAAGTTGGCGGAGGTGAAGGTCTCCCGAAATCCCTGGCCGGTGTTGGCGGTAAAACGCCCATCGGGTGAGGCCAGTCCACGTTCACAAGGATCTACCAGCGAGGCTGCTACAGCAGCAATTAGAAGATCTTCCTCACTATCGTTCGCACTGGAATGTTGAGACAGACCATCGGAGAGGCCTTCGGAACGACCACCACTCGCCAATGGAGACTGTACCATCGTCCCGCGTGGGAGGAAACCTTCTCGAAATGAATCGTGATGCGTTTGATCCACAGCCACTGGGGCCATCCAGTCTGCGACCTGCATGCCAACTTGCGAGTCACCATAGAGATCAAGAGACGAGGTCACGTGACGACATTGAGTATCCACCTTGATGTGGTGTTGGTTGCCAGGATGCAATGCAGTGCTCGCAACGTGTAAACTCCTATCCGCGGCACTAAACAGCGAGGAGGGAAATGCTTGAGTATGGTCGGTGGTTTGCATCTGATAGCGAACTCGCTCGTGACTCAGGGTGGTCGGAGTTTGGGGTAAGAATGATGACGACACAGCAGCTGGATGCATTGGTCTGAGGTCTTGAATCATGGGAAGGCACATTGGCTGCATGTGGGAAGACGCGGCGCTGGATGGTCCAGTCTGGCCGGCGAGGATATCCATCTGGCCAGCGTAGAGCAAGCAAGGTTCTGCCACTGAATATGCTGCACGAGCAAGCGCTTGAACAGTAGGTTGTGTATGAGTAGCGCGTGCACTCTGCGCCAGGCCGGGTTCCATATTTGGTAGTAGCGGTGCGGGAGCAAAAGCCGTGACGTCTGACTGTTCGATGAACGATAAATTGCAAGCTGAAGAATCGGACACAAATACGTATACACGCACGCACCGCACAGACATATAGCCACACCGGAACCAACAAAGAAGTTCTTAAATCGAGCCAGTTGAAAATATATCCTAAGACCTCTCCATCTACCGCTGGAAATAGGCAGTGTATTCAGTCTAGTTTTTACAATTTCCTTTGCACTCCACTATCATTAATTTAAACTTCAGGATGAAAGGGGGAGTTCGGATCTAGTGCAGTCGGCCCACCAATTTCGGTGTAATTTCAGTTTCGGTAATTTCGCTTGAGAAACCAGGCACTAGTGCCTAAATATAGATAATTTAATTACACTGTACATGTACATGTAAAAGGCACTATAGCATACACTCTATGATAGTATGAAGGGTAGGCCGGTCACCTAATAATTCTGCATTACACCTGAAACCTGGCAGGTCTCTGACACCGAAATGTTACCACAATCATGTTCACCTAAAACTACATGTTAAAAAAGTACCCTGTTTTCTGATGATCGCTTAGTGCGTGAATATCGGAGTTAAACACTTTCTCTGTCCTCTTATTGTTTTGTTGAAAAGTACCCAATGCTGTAGACTGCAAGCTGTTTCGGCCTTAATAATAATAATATCTTTATTAGGATGACCCAGAGGTTTGTCGCCTTATAGGCTTCACAAGTAAGTACATCTTAACTAGCAGTGTACAAGACAGCATACCTACATGTATGATTCAAGCTACTTAGAATATGAACGTGCGTGACTTACTAAATAATTTCATGTCTCCGCCTGAGTTCGTATCTCCACGATGGTGCGCTACGGCTGATGCACTAGTACTAGCATTAAGTCAAGTAAATTATCCCGTCCGTTCCCAAGGTAACTCAACAAGGCCGCTAACACCACGTAAATCCAGCGGCAGATGCAACGTCTAACGCTGGGGAGGGGGGGGGAGGCGCGAGGGAAACAATTCTCACAACCACTAAGCAGAAGTGCCGGAATGGGGTGCATAATGGGTCTGGGAGAAAGCAAATCTCTTCTTCTGCCCTGCCCAAATGCAGCCAGTCTCTCTGTGTATTTACCAACATTTCGTCTTCTCCTCGTCTGGTAAGCATTGAACACTGCACAACCGTAACTGAAGCTGCCTGAAGCATCGCCGCGAGCTTTTATTATGCTACTAGAGACTATCCGAATACATCAACACTGACTCATGCCCATAAGCGGTTCCAATGACTCGCGCGTTATACACAGCGCCCATTAGGGTCTTGGTCGAGCGGAATCGGATCTTTGCGTCATGATACCGTACACATCTGAGGGGACGCGCAAGTCATTCGGCGGTTCGAATGACTTGCGCGTCATACACAGCGCCCATCAACGGTTCGAAAGACTTGCGCGTCATGCACGGCACCAAGAGTACATAACCCCCAGAGTGTACAACGCCGATCAAGCTCTGCATAGGGCCTTGGTCGAGCGGAATCGGATCTTCTGATGGCATGCGTACCAGGGAGTAGTACAATGGTATTGTACTACTCCCTGATGCGTACACTCCACACCAGCGCAAGGCCGGTCTCGAGGCAGGGCACCATTGTTTTTGATCCAAGAGTACCCACGACTCCCCGGGTTCCCCTCAGATGTGTACGGTATTATGACGCAAAGATCCGATTCCGCTCGACCAAGACCCTATGAAGAGCTGGATCCGGCCTTGCACACTCTAGACTCTGGGGGGGGGTTATGTACTCAGCACCCATAAGCGGTTCCGCTGACTAATCACGATGGCGTCATTCGCACAATCTCCATAGAGCTAGAGTACGAGTACGCATGCCACCAATAATGGCAATATGCTTCTAAGCTGATCAGTGAGACGACCCCCGGCCCCTACCAGCAACGCAGAAAGGCCTGAGCTTCCTGGAATTTGTTCGGCGCTCTTCTAATGTAATTTCAGCCTGTACCGACTTAAGACTCGCCGCTTGTGGAATACATGTACTGTACTTGTATGGGATTTCCAAAGGAGGCTACTGGCGAATGTAACCATATTTGGATAATCAGGAAAGTGGCTGTGAAGAATCTTGAGCCTGATTCATTTCGCGTACGGGAAACGCGAAAAAGTTGACTTGAGCTCAACTATTTTGGCCCATCGTGCGACGATCGCACGATGACTTTCCCGTACGCGAAATGAAATATGAATCGGCCTTTAAACGGATTTGACACCAACCGTGACCTAACTATCGTGATGCACGAGTTTTGTAGCAGAAAACGTGTGAAAACAGCGGTTTCCACGCGTGAGGTTAGAGGAATGAGCAGCTACGGACGCTGTAACCTTCCTGAATCAGCATTGTTGGAAACTAGAGATCATCCCTATCCGTGCAAATGCGTGCTTCTCAGCTTCTCTCGCTTCGGTTTCTCTCTCTCTTCTCTCTTTCTCTCTCTCTCTCTCTCTCTCTCTCTCTCTCCTTTCTCTCTCTGTCTCTCTTTCTCGCTCTCTCTCTCTCCCCCTCTCTCTCTCTCTCTCTCTCTCTCTCTCTCTCTCTCTCTCTCTCTCTCTCTCTCCCTTATTCTCTCTCTCTCTCTCTCTCTCTCTCTCTCTCTCTCTCTCAATCTCTCTCTCTTCTCTCTTCTCTCTTCTCTCTCTTTCTCTCTCTCTCTCTCTCTCACTCACTTTCTCTCTCTCTCTCTCTCTCTCTCTCTCTCTCTCTCTCTCTCTCTCTCTCTCTCTCTCTCTCTCTCTCTCTCTCTCTCTCTCTCTCTCCTGACACAATCTGTCTCGCTCACGTTCACTCTCAGACCCTTATGATCTCGCTCTGTATTAATTTCTCTGCATCTCTTTATGCGTGTGTCGGACTCCGTCTCTGCCTGTGTCCGTATCATTCTCTTCGTCTGTATGGCTTTCGCCGTCTCTTTTCCTACTGTCTTACGTTCGGGAAGATGTGCTAGCCGTCCAGCTTGCGCATTGCACATCGTTCGAATATGAAGTACATGCACAATTCTCTTCAGAACAAGGGAAGAGAGCACGAAACGCTAGAAGTATTGTGGATGGGAATGTACTTACACGTGGATGGTGGGTTTGTGTAGAGTGAAGAATCAGACCCAGCGGCAAGTAAGCTTCTGTCGTCTTTCGCAGCAGTCCTTGCGGGAAGCAACACCTGTAGGACACAAACAGAAGTATTAGCCTTGGTCTCTGGCGGATGCGTGCTGAAATCGCACAATGTCCGCACCACAAGGGCTGGAGTGAGACCAAATTACAATCTCCAGTTCAAATGTAATTTGCTGCCGTAAATTATCCCAGTTGAGGATAGTCTTGAGAGGGGTTGTTGTCTTTCTGAGTAGCAAGATTGGTTTAGTATTGCACTATGGGAACGTCTGTTCCTCAGCACAGTATGCACATGTCGTCTAGCTGAGCGTGGAGGGGGGGGGGGGGGGTTGACGAAATAGAAAGAGACCCAGTCTCCTCTTTTGCAATTGACATTTTTGGATGTTCAAAGTTATTTTTCCGAAACAAGTGGAAGGGGTCTCTTTTCGATTACAAATATCTTAGCGAAGAGATTGAGCGGGACTTGATAAAGTGCTGAGAAAAATTCCAGAATTTTCCTGCTCAAGCGGGAAATTAAGGAAAGTGTTAGAGGATCAACAGGTGGTTAACGTTTTGCACACTGGAATTGTGAAAAGTTAGTGTGCAGTTGGCCGTTTCCACGGGGGATTTGATGACTTAGAGCAACACGGGTTCGGGCAACTCAAAGAATCCTGGGGGAATTTTGTTTAGCCTCCACTACTTCAAAGAATTTTGGGGAGGAAACATGTGTTGTACGAACCTGGTCGATATTCAAGTCCGCTACTGGATCAGCCATGTCGGCTATCGCTGCACAGGTCTGCAAAAGAGCCCCTACGTTCTTCATAGCCTTCTTTCACTTCGCGTACAGACTCAACTTCAGCGACCTCCTTCACATAGAGCACAGTGTCTGGTGTAAGAGGCGCTCGCAGTGAAAACCGTCTTTATGAAATGCTCAAAATGGTGTGGAAGTCTGTTGCCTTGCGTGCTTTGGAGCGAGGGAGGTGGCGACGAGAAACTGCATGCTGCAAACCACACCAAGACGCCACGTGCTCGGCTGAAGTGTAATACCCTCACGCCCTTGTCTCTGTGTGGGCCCAGGGTGTCGCTGAGGAATTGTCGCCCTCTGTGATGTCAGTGAAGGGATCGGGCTCTGACGCACTTGAATCGAGTCACCATGGACACCTAGCTAGTCCAGCGCACGGAGTCCTACTTTACCACTCATCTGGGTACAGTCTGCCGAACGAATATGGTCAGAACGTGCCAAAGGCAAACACAACGGCCTAGATGATCATATTCACTCGCGTGCCTAAATCACGTCTCCGTTTTACCATCCACCAGCATTATAATGACTGCATTGTTATGGTATCTGTTTATCGCTAGAAAACTCAAAGATGTTCACGAAGAACATGGCCCAGAGCCAATGAAATCTGCACGTGTTTGCACTATTTATCTTTGGTGACAATGAAGCGACTGACTCGGGGTGCCCATTACCATTGTCCGGAAAACTGCCGCTGAAAGCAAATGTAAAATGAATGTGGCGACGGTCAGGCGGTGAACTCGCCTGCGCCACTGGGATTGACCTAAACTGCTGAAGCTCATGTGTGCGAGATTCTCGCCGCCCAAATGTGCATTGTTCGCAGTAACAGGAATCCTTGAGTGCACCACAATGATATTCGGAATTTCATTGCATATACAATGTACGTGAGCAGATTAGGGTCAGAAAACGAAAGACGTGAAAGAGATATTTCCCTTGGGGACCAACCCTTTGGAAGACGTTTCATATCTCACAATCCCACCAATGACGGAGGTGGCATCAATGCGTTCCCCCAGAATGCTCCCACCCTTCATTCATGAATCACAGTGGAGGCATCGCTGTAGCAGGGAGCTCCGAAAGGGTGAGCGGAATTCAGCAGTGTTTACGTCCTCGCAGTTCGAAGATGAATGCTTGCCTCTCCACCCTAGCATCTGTAGCATCAATGATTTGGAGGCGTGAAAGCGGTAGTCTAATGGGCCATTGTGTGCTATTGCTGGACACAGCAATCGACCCTGAAGATTTGGAAGGTCGAGAGGGTATGTCAAAGCAGTCAGCGATAACTGCGTGTGGATACATGTACCTCGGAGGACACCTGGCACAAGCCAAAGATACGCTATATTTAACGATTGTGGGCTTCCAGGGCGTCCCTTTGAGGAATGCGCCACCACACAAAGTAGGTATTGTGCACGTTTGAAAGGAAAATTAGGGAGCTCCAATGCAAAGGTGGTCGCTAAACATTTGGACGAGTTCGCTCCAAAAGACGTCATTTACAAGCAGTGAAGACAGCAGAATGATTTTTACAAGTGCAGCCTGACGTAATACCGCGTCTTGATCGCCAGACCTGTGAATGCTGAACGATGCACGTTCTACAAGTCTGCTACATAGCCTGGCCAGCAATGGCGACTGATGTGCCAGCCGTACTGACGTCACACCTCCCAGGCACACTGCATACAATGACGACTGTTTGTCAATTGGCCGATCTCTCTTTTGTGTGAGACCTGTCAAGGTTTGACGGAGCGTTGGCAGTTTCTGACATGAACCTCACGCGTCCAGCTGTCAACATGCTGTCCCAGTGCAAGCCTTGATTTGTGTGGCATCGGCCGAGCAGGAATTCGACTGAGCGTCAGCAGAAAATCAAGTCCAGTACTGTAGTAGAGGCAGCGGCCCGCAGACAGCAGAAGGGGCAAACTGGTGATGGCACAGGGCTGCAGACTCATGTATTGGTCTTTGGCAAACCTCCCACTTATGATTCAGCTAATCTCCAGCCGGCATTGGACTCCCGCTACATCGTTATAGTAGCTGCGGTGAAGGGTGGTAGTGATTTTCGAATTGGAGTGCGTGGAATTGTTTGGTCCGACTCTAGCGCATCCTTTCGGTGTGAGTGCCAGAACTTCGTTTTCTCGCCAAGCAGCGCTCAATACGTGGAGGTGCTAATTGCAATTCCCGAACGAGACATGTTCACTTCAGGATGATGATGTTGCCAGGAAAGCTGCCGTAATGTGTGTATCTGCTTGCCGCTTCTAAGCGGTTCCCCGGTTTGCTTGAACGTCTCTGGCTCTGTCATAAGCAACAAGCAAGCAGAATGGATTGGACGCCAGCCAAACCTTGGGCCACCGCTGGCTCTGTAAAGACATCAGCGTCGCCATTTTCTTTCCAGGATAAAAAAAATGCTGATACAATGATTCGCTGGAATCACATTGTGACGTGTTTGCAGACTTGGGCGTTGGCCGTGTCATCTCATCAATGTCTTGATACCAATGTGCAGTCAATATGTGTATGTTTGCCCATGGGATTTCGCATCAATGTTTTTATGGACACCGAGACCATCGGTGGCAATATTTGAGTGCAAACTCTGGTTGGAAATTTGGAGAAAAATGCATGTGGAAGCACAATCTGTCACAGGATGCGCGGTGCAGTCAGTAGACGAATTGCTGATGCTAGTTACCTGATCCGTATAGTCGAGCATGGGCAAAATATGCATTTAGGTATTCATTTATATATTTCTGCACCTCGTAGCATGTCAAGACATCCAATTAAATTGAGGAGAGGGTGAGGCCAACCACGCAAGAAAGAAATCTTTCTTTTCTTCAGTTCAGCTACCTCAGATTACAAGGATGCGTTGAGTGTGCGTTGGTCCCTACGTTAGAGGTACATGTACATGGCCACAGACGGGGAGGGACGGGGTGTGTGAAACATCCACACGGTGCCAATGCACCACATAAGAAATCGAATATTTTTTGTAAGTATTTGCAATCATTTATTGTGCCTCGCCCGCATATCCAGACAAGAACATTGACCGTTCACTGTGGTCAAACAGATAGCCAATTTCATAACCAATTACTAGTACTTGAAATTCATCATCACTGCGAGCATTCCTCTGCCTTAGTTGTATTAGACTGATTGACAGTCCAACCAAAATTTACATCTAGCACAGTAGTGACTCTACGTTCAAGCTACCCATAGCGTTATTAGTTTTAATCATCATAGCAGATGGCATTAGATTTAGGCCAAGTGGGAAGAAACTGGCACGTACAGAAAACGTCTCATAAGTATAAGTATGTATCGAACTCAGAATCTCAAGCTGTTCAGCTGAACATAATTCACAGAGCGCATCAAGTCCATGACCAAGAACTAGAAAGGAAGCACCCACTACTGAACACTACAGGAACCTTTGAACGTTTGCGGTACTCCACTGTACCAGTCGTGTGCTGTTTACCGCCTCTCCGGTGTGGTATTCTAACGTTAACGTTATTCATTGACTGAGCGTTCTTTGCTTTGTACTACACCGTGCTATCATGTTAGGCTATTTCCTACAATAATTATAATAATTATTATTGTTTCCATTCGCTTCCATATAAATGGGCGACACCGCCCGTTTGGTTCTGCGAATTCAAATAAAAATGTACCTACCTACCTAAGCTAATAACCCTACTTTAGACTAGCAAATTATTTTCCTGGAGATACACAAGTATCGGTAGCAGGACAAAGTACTTCAGCCACGTCACACGGTATGCCTCTTTCCTTGGCCATGTGAAGGATGATCTTCTCCCGTGCCCGCTCCACCTTCTCTCGCAAGGCCTTTTCTTCTCGTCGCAGCTCTGCATTCTCCCTGCGCAGCTCGGCCGAGATCTTCTCGTTGCGACGCACTGCCTCACGCTGCAGCCTCTCCGTGCGGTATGTTGAGCGTCGACGTCGTCTTGGGGGCTTCTTCACCGGTGATCTGCATCTTTTGCGTCCCCTTGCTGTTGCGTCGATCGTGCTGTGTTCGCGTATACTATTGTCCGAGTCGGTATCTTGTGGTTCTGGGCATTGGTCGTGTGGTGAGCGTGCTGCAAGACTCAGTTCACTGTGACTAGGAGCCGAGGATAGAGATTCAGATTGGAGAGTCGAGCAGCTGGAGCAAGACGCGTGTCGTGCAACCGGCGGCGTCGCGGTCGGTTCCGCCGGGCCGGACAAGCATTCACTGGCGGGGGTGCACTGTCTCCCTTGGTTAGTAGTCGTGCTATTAGCACAATTACTAGTGCTGTTTGCCACGATGCCTGGCCATTCTGCATGGGTAGTGTTATGACTTGATGCCCACAAGTTGTTCACCGATTGGCCAAGGGCTAATCCGGGTGCTGTGGCTCCTGCTGATGCTTCCTCTGCGTCTGGCATGGACGACCACGTGAAACGAGGCCGAATGCTGTGTGCGTCCTGTTCTTGGAGAAGATTCATCGAGGCTGAACAGGCTGCGAGTTGTCCGTACTCTGAAGAATATCCAGCGAGATTGTCGTTCAATGCGCTCATCCACAGATCTGCGGGGAAATCAGTTAGATTCGGTGAGCTCGGATCATTCACCAGCATATCAGAGGCCAATGCCATGGGCTGCGCTGTGTGCTCGCAATGCAATGACGTAGCCAAGGAAGCGTGGAGTGAACGCTGCATGAGCAGGGTGCCTAGCTGCGCCTGATCACGTGCCGGCCTGGATGGTGATGGGGGAAAATCAGGGAAAATCCTGAAGGCATCATAATGTTGAAGTGATGCGAGGGTTGGTGCGTAGTGGCGGATGATTGGTGCCTGCTCTGCATAGTCGTTTCCCCGCAGCAGAGCGTCACTAACGCAGGTAGTTGGAAGAGACAGTCCGCAGCCGGTCGACGATGGGAGAGCTGAGACACACACGGGCGTCGGACTAGGGGCGGGCGCCATCAGCGTCCGGCCATTCACAAAGCTTTCAGAGATATCCTGCGAGCATGTGATCGCCGTCTTTGGCTCAATTCCTGCTTGCACCAGACTTCCCAAACCTGCAGGCAAAACGCATCCCACAAGTAAAAAATGCATGAAATCATGATGTACAGTTAGACTTAGCAGAGCTGGCATACATTGGTGTCTTGCATGGCGGCGGGCTGACATTCGGTTTTGTGATAAATTTCCTGCGAAGCTCGGCATGAATCAAACTCGAACAATCTATCATAATCATTGAAACAAGTCATCATGACATCAAAACACGGCAGACTGTGTACGATTTTCAACTCAGCCACATGATTGTATAGATAACGAGAATGGATTGAATTGAACTCAGCATGAATTGGACGCACATTGCAAAGTACGTACATGTGCATAACAATGTACAGCGCTGGCAACTGAAATCCGACCCCTTAGCGGTGCGTCCACTTTCCAGCGGTCTCTGTTTCGTAGCTTTACCATCCCGTGCTGGGTCTTGGCGATGTGAGCGCACCGCTCAGGGGTCGGATTTCAGTTGCCAGCACTGTACATGTGTACACAATCTGCGGACATGTGCAGTTAAGTATACAGTCATGTACATGTAGTTTAGGGTACTACCCTCAACATAACGATATTTAATTTATTATTTTTAAATTTTTCACCGCCCACGGAAGGACTTTGTGCGGCCGTGGGCGGTAAAAAAAATTAAAAATCATGACAAGGCTACAGAGGAGTTACGCCATTCTTCTTATTTCTATTATAGACAACACCTCATGGCATGAAAAGAAAATCAGCCAGTATGGGAGATGTGGGTGTTAACTAACCCTGGTGAATAAAAGAAGAAAAGTAATGGTCAAGACGGAGAAGCGTGGGGGGGGGGGGGAGGGACAGGTGATGGTGAATCTAGCGAGCAGATTTAAATGCGTCCAGGGTACTACTTATCCAATAGCAAAGGGGTACAGCGCAAATTTCCACTTGATGCTCCAATCTGATTCTGTCTTACGTCGATAACAACGCCTTCCCCTTCCCTTTACCTCTGTATAAATTGGAGGCTGTGCAAAAAGGCGTCACCTCATACACAGATTATACTGTTGAATGATCGACAAAAGCCAAAGCACAGCTTCCTGTAACGGGTGTGTAGTTTAACATTATCGACGGAATTGGCTAGTCCTCTTGCTTTAAAAACTCTATTTTGCTTCACTAAAGTACAGAAAGTTGTCGCTAAACATATTCCGACAAATCACTTTTAACGTGGCTTGGTTACGTCATGCAGCCATGTAACCATTTGCCACATTTGGCAGTCATGTTGAACTTTTCGAAGAATGAATGAACCTATGTCAGACGTTTCCAGATTCGCTATCTCTCTCTCTATCTCCGTCTCTTTCTCTCTCTTTCGTTCTTTCTCACTATCTTTATTTCTCCCCCATTGTCTTAATCTCTCTCTGTTTCTCTTTCTCTAAATCACGTACCACTTTACCATATTAGGTCTGAGCGCACTGCTGTATCTCCTTACAATCACCCAGCTCAAAACTAAATTGCTTGTTTGATGCAGGCACTAAAGACGGACTGTACTTGAATATCGATCTCACAACCTTATGTAAGGAAGGCCAATGTTCCACCCCATGGCGATCTCCCACGCCATGCACATAGCCATGCAGGTTAACTTGATAAGCACTTGGAGGCACTGTCACAGCCAAAACAAAATACTAACCTAAAGCGAACATAATGCATCGGCTCGCTCACAAACATTGAGCAGCGACTCTGCCTAACGATCCTTGGTGCGCAGAAGAAGTGACGTTTTATCCAATATCATTCCATATCTCGTGACGTCACGGTAGAGTTTTTGGATATCAACACCCTTAACCAGCGATTATAATAATGTCCTACAATATCATGTTCTGCAATATCATGTCCTGCATGGTTAATATCATACATCCTCCTCTAACGTCTCGTCGCACAGTCCATTTCAAAACTATAGACGCGTACCTAGGCAAAAGCCGTTATGCCAGCATCTATACCACATAAAATCTGTGATCACTTTGTGCATAACTTTTTTCTAAATTGGGCGTCTGTTATCCAATCGTTTAGAAACTATAATTTTATGAGAGTAGTTGTGGAGCGGACCTGAGCAATATTCCGAAAACTACTTCTGAAGTATTCTTCCAGCCAAATTTGAAATATTTCAAAAACACTGCGCGTCTATAGTTTTGAAATGGACTGTAGGTTGAAGACGTGCACTTGGGGCGAACGGGAAATCGAACCATAAGGAAGAGTGTAGGGATCGCACACATGCTCTCTCTCTCTCTCTCTCTCTCTCTCTCTCTCTCTCTCTCTCTCTCTCTCTCTCTCTCTCTCTCTCTATCTCTATCTCTCTATCTATCTATCTATCTATCTCTCTCTCACACGCACGCACACACACACACACACACACACACACACATTCACACACACGCACACACACATTCACACACACACACATAGATTGGTCTGATTTGGATAGACACATTGCTCTCTTGTCCACGGCAAGAATACAGCAGGCCTTTCCATACACGTTGCATGGCCAATAATGGGCCCGATATACATGTGATGCTGGTGCTCAGAGTTTTATGCCAGTACGTACATACAACACCGCACCGTCATCAAACACCACGTTCAACACACGGGTTGCATCCTTCGTATTCCAAGACACAACATTACTCTTTCGGCTCCAGACCGACAGGAAAAGAACTAAACTGCCAGCAAGATTCCGATTGTAGCCAACATCAAAGATACGCCTCGTGTGCTCTGGACGCCAGTCGTGAGTTATTCAAGCGAGAATTCAAGTCGGCAGGAAAAGCGAGAGATCCCACGTAGGGAGCAACACGCAATTCCCAAGTATCGCCGAAGTCGCACCAACCTAGTCTTCACATGGAAGATACCCATGTATGAACTTTTAATTTTCAGTTGCAATGCATTGGTAATCGGTGCTGCCATTGTCAGAAATGTTCGCACAGTCATGAAACTCTGGGGGCAAAACCGCGGCCGGCTACAATGGAGACATTACTCGAACATACCCAAGACGGTGCCTTGGCCTACACCAGACGCAATGCTGCCTACGTTTAGCGATACCACTGCTTTCGTGGGTTGTAGCAGTCTAGGAGCGTCCTGTAGGGAAAAGCAGACAGCAAGATGGGCAGGGACAAGGTCAATGGTAGAGCTACAAGTATTCATGGACAGAGTTGGCTCCTAAGTACAATACAAATACTAAGTGTTGTCACAGACCGAGAGGCACACATACACAAAACTACGAGGCATACAGCGCATCGAGAGAAGACGAACAGAATACGATGAGAATTAGTAGGGTTCTAGGATGCGATACAGGTTGTTGTTTGTACGGACTAGAATTGATGCGATCCTACCACATCGAGCTCGTGCGGCCCAAATATAATCTGATTGCATTTCTTACACAGTCATTACACTACAAAGACTTAGTATGTTTGTGTGGGGGTGTGGGGAGGGGGGGGGGTACCATTATGAAACACAGTGCAAGGTTCTTCAAGTACAATGATGCGGGTACAATTTCTTCGGCTCTCCATTTCGAACCGAAATTCTACTCGCCTATTGCGTAGGGACAAGTTTGTACCCGACATTGGCTAGCAGACAAGCACACGTCGTCCGCATTTCAGTTCACACAGTGGAATTTGCAATTCGTCTTTTGACCAATCTGAACGAATGTCGCGAGTTCATACCTTGGAACTAGCCCGAGTGAAGTCGCGCACTCCACACTTTGCTGCGGAGACTCGGCCTGAGACGATATGGTTCTAACGTCCGATCGACTAGCGATCACATCCATTATCAGTGAAGATTAAACAGGCTACTGTGATGTCCAACATCAACAGTACTCTAGTTGGCAGACTTAAAGAAATCGATCTTCGCTGGCGAGTGGATCGCCCTTCATTTCGCGTGCGCCGCCGGTGTTGGTCATTTTGGTTAGGCCATAAAAGAAGTTGGTTTCTGATCTACTACGCACTTCCCCCCCCCCCCAATCGTGACTTGAAAGAGAGGCTTTTAGCGGGCGCATTCTGCCCATGGTGCAAAGTCAGTACCGTATCTCACATTGTACAGGTGAATGAGATTGCTGCTGAGATGAATCCCAAAGGATCGAGGTTTCTTCTTCCAATGATGGTAATAATGGAACGAACTCTTCGCCTGATACCCAACAATTTAATGTGAAAGATCCCACAGCTGAATCTGCCGTTATTCGGCTGACTATTGGAACCTTTTAGTAGTTACCTATATAGGCTACGTAGCCTTTCACACCAAACAAAGGTTACCAGCCTTATGTCCGGCTGTGCGCATATTGTGCATTCGGACTGTAACAATTTCACGCCATGCCCTTTGCCCCTTGTCAGAATTCAATAGTCACTTCACCATGAAGGCTATCGCGTTGTGTTATATTCACTGCATTAAGAAGAAAGGGGTCGTCGTCATTTCATGCCAAGAAGGAAGATGAGTCGTCGCTCTGTATCGCTTGCCGTTTTCGGGATTCGAAGGTCACTATTTTTACTATAATGTGATCAAATTGATCCCACCTTTTTTCTGGTGCACGTAGCTATTGCTAAGGGGATTAGAGAGCCTCTCCTTCACGGGTTTCGTTTCATCTTTTCTATCTGCCAGGTCTTCGTGGCGGAAGAACTGGTTTCGAATAATCTTGACCCTAGCTGGGTAGTGAGTGTGTGTACTGCAGACTACTCTCACCGTCTCTGCAGCACACAGATATGTGCTGTCCAATATGTTGAGAACCGCGCCGTCACCGTACTGGGACAGCGTGGAGGCATCGGTATTGTCCTGCGAGTTAGCCGCATCATCACAGTCCGTATACACAGCCATAACAATCCTCGTCGCCGGCTCTCCTGCTCCTCGTTGATGAAGGTTAGTGGCTCCACCCTGTAACTGTTCCTTGTCAGGTGATCTTGCCGACTGAATCGTTCACAGAGCGAAATCAAACTTTGTATAGCCCGACAGAGATGAAGTCAGCCTCTACCTTGCGCGACGGTGCAGCTAACTCGCATCATCACTAACTGGGCCATGGGGCGGAGTGCTAATTTCGAACATTGTACAATTGAAATTGACTGCGGGGTCCTCGCGAATTGGACGGGCGCGCGCTGAGCAGTGGCTGACGCACATCAGCATGATATCACCGTGCATTCCTGACAGAGCAGAAATCTTTTTCGCCCAAAAAACGTCGACGAGCATACGGCGCCGTATGTGCGTGCAAAACTATTTGGACTGCAGGTCACCTAGCTTGATTCCAGTGTCGATGGTGGTGTGCAAGGCGTCTCGTGTATTACTCATTAGTTCTGCCTTCACCACGTGAAGGCCTTGGGTTTTGCTCACCGTGGGTTATTGACCTTTACTTGTGTTACACGTTGAAGGAGAACAGAATGGGTTAGGCTACAGCCTGGTTTGAGGATCATGTGAAGGCCAGTGGCGAATCGGCCTCATTCACTGTGATTTCCTTCCCAGCTTGGCTCCATGAATGAAGCTGACATCGAATTGCACTGGTATCAATAAATTGATGCATGTCGCTCATTGGATGCTGTCACGTCTCCAACATCTGCCTCAGTCAATTGCATTCTCCCTATCATACTAACAGTATGTCGGTAGTCTGAGATACTCAGTAGCCAGTTCTGTAGCTAGAGTCTAATCCTTGAGATGTGAAATGCTATAATGTCTAGCAGTGTGCACTACAGCAAGGACGAGCATATGCTGAGCATACGCCGTCGTGCAGATGTGCCCATCACCACCATGATTGCGTTGCATACCTGCGATGCCCATCACCAGTGATCACCACCATGTGTTGGGTGTTTGCAAGGCCACCTGTCGCAGCATTGCGTCCGAGTACCGTGGACACAAATACACTATTGCAGTTCGAAGTCCTGTACCTGTATATGCCGTGACTGAGCATGGCATATGGATCAGGCTACTGGTGTAAATAGTTATAAAATTCAAATACCAAGCCGTGCAACGTGGGTCATCCTAATAAAGTTATTATTTTACTACAACGCACAATCAACGTCTAAGTCCTAGTAGGCTAGTACTGTAGTACAGGAGGCCTTGCCAAAGGGCGTTTTGAGCCCAACTACGTTATGTATGATCTGTGATCATTGTGCCTTTGTTCCGTCATCCGTATCATGTTGGGTAGATTCATATCCACCATATCCGGCTAGAAAACAGTACAGCAGCAGCAGCAGCAGTAGCACATACATGAACCGAGCACATGGAGCCCTTGTGCCTGATGCTCGTGTTGATAAACCCATGCAATTGTGTACCTTTGTACATGCACTGATTCTTTCATGGACGGGGGGGGGGGGGAAGACGCGGAACTGCTATACTGTCCGCGAATCTTCCTTAGCAGAACCATGCTAAACAATCACGCGTTTCGGACCCTGGATATTTACATGAGAGTCTGCACTACTGGAGCAACGGCATGATAATAATTATCTGCTGCGTTCCCAAATAGCAATTGTCACACAGAGTCTCATCCCACCTCCAATGTAGCCTACACCGCGAAACACAATAGTGATCTGCACAATGCAGAATCCGAGAATGGAAACACAGTCACTTACTAGTGTTTTTAGTTTTGCTTGTATCAGGTAGCAGTAGCATTTTAGCAGGCGGTTGCTCGCCATGTTAGACTTGGAGAAGGTACACTGAAAACGCAAACCCACCAGCCTATCTAAGCATAATTATCATGTTTATGTGCTGATGGCAAAACGGTTATCACGGAATCAAAATCAAGGATTGGGCTGGAGCTGGGTGGATTTCCTTAAAAGGCTCAATGTGGACAAGTGCTAGTGGCGCCCTGTACAGTAGCGAGTCATCCGATTAGATCTACAAGGTTGAAATTGTGACCGGCATGCTGAGACTTGCACTATTCGCACTGGAGTATGGCCAGTGAGTGTATGCCGTATAAGCAATATGTATTGCCCAGGGGAAAGGGAAGATTATCAGATTCCCCGAATTGAGTGTCGCTGACAGAAGCACGACCACAGGTCGCCTATCTAACACATTATGCAATGCTCAACAAGTTTATTCGCCACACCACGGTCCCAGTGGCGCCAGAATATGTTTGCTTGCATCTCGTCATTCAATCCGCAAGCGCATGCAATAGCGAAAGACTTCCTTTCAAGTATTCCTTCAAGTATTATTTGACTTTGTTGCAGCATTATATTTCTGGGGCTTGGGAGCCGCCCTAAAATGCATGCCAGCGTATGCTGACAACAGCTGTTAATTAAAATAATATTGAGATGATGTACCATACAATCATACTATTTTCCAGCCAGGACCTTAGACACTATGTTGTACCATACATGTACGTGTACGTGCTGAACCATCGCTACTATCCGCATGATTTCTGAATGCTCGCATCCATGGACGCATCAGGGTTGATGGACTGGCTAAACAAGGGCACCAGTAACTGGCGATTGTGAAACGCTTGCCAAGCAGTTTTCGCAAACGATAGCAGATTTTTGCGAGTGTGATGCGCAATGTCTGACTGAGATCACCCCTGGCGTTTGAGAACTGTTTAGCAGTGGGACCACCCAAGTGACAGCCTTCTGGACGTGTGGACAAGCCAAGAGAAGTCAGTCTGGAGCAAGAAAACAGGGTTCATGCACTAGTACTGTTGTAGTAGAACCTACGACGGAGATTGACGCATCACAATAAGATCACAGGCACACGGATTGGAACCTCAGTGACAAGCGACGGAAGACATGACGGCTCTCCGACGTCGACCATGCAGCCGAGTGCTGCAGACCATTGCTGAACCCTGCGTCAGAAGCGGACGAACTGTCCTCAGCCTGCCAGAAACTCACCAGTCTTTGGCATGCTTGTTCGCCTGTCTGGGTCCCAAAAGAGACAAGGGCAAAATAGTGCAACTCGTATTTTCACAGTATGTAGTATGCTGTGAGTCTTGTGACGGCTGGCTAGGGAATCTTTTGATCTGTCCCTGTCAAGGACCTGTCCGCCAAACAAACAACCCAAGTGCAGTATCGTGATAGAATTTGAGAGACAACGCATTTGTTTACATAGCAGTGGAAGTCACTTCAGTGTTCGCACTCTTGCAGTAAGCCGTAGATCTACACTCCGTCTTGCACAGCACCGACATTGCTCAAAAATGAAGAATGCTCGGATATGACGTACGTGTACGTCGGATACTAGGCAAACTTTCCTGTTCCCCAGGGGTGAGTTACGTTAGATCAGAGTTCATGTTGTAGATGTGCAGACATACATGTACAATAGCATACCGTATTATCTCCAGCGCAGTCTCTTCTAGAAGCCCAGTCTCTATTATAGGCGCGCTCCTAGAGGGCTTCGAAGATATACAAGCGCAGTCTCCAATATAAGCGCAGGGCTTATAATGGAGAACCGTATGGATCATGTTAATGCATGTTTGAAGTCACACAGTATCACATAAACACATGCCATGGTAAAAGTCTGTGATACCCGAGATCTAAAGTACAGACTCAGTGTACCAGGAAGCACAAAACTGCAGTCCCGATACCTGCTGAGAAACCTTCTGCTACTGATAATAATTATAATGAAAAATAGTGGGCAATGTACATGTACCAGGCGGTTGAAAAATTGTCAGCCCAGTCTCTAGTAAAAGTCCAGTCTCCAATATAAGCCCAGGGTCCAGACTGATTGAAAAAATATAAGCGCTGGGCGTATATTATTATAAATGGAGATAATACGGTGCTTACTACAGTCAGTTGTAAAGCAAGACAGGTAACACGAAGCAGTTATACAGCCGGACGCGCACCTCCAGACTCACTTGGTCTCTTCTCTTCCATAACTGGCAGAGGGACTTAAACGCTATCGCCGCAAGCTGCTTTCTGCGGGTGATATCCTCTGCATCACCAAGGAGAGAGCCGAGTTTCTTGACCATACGCCATGGCTCATCAGCACGATCGGCCTCTCGCTGGATGGCTGTGAATTCTGTCTTGGTCTGGTTGACGGTAAGGGACCATGTACCCAAGATGGTGTCAACTTGTGGCTCTAACATCCGAAGCCAATCACTAGAGATACTGATGAAGTCCACATCATTGGCGTACTCCACATCGTACGGAAGATGCTTGCTTTACAACTGCTCCACATGGGGCATCACTCGACAGACAATTGAAGCGCTGGAATCGTATCATCGGCGGCAACTTCGGCATATCTTGGGTATCAGGTGGCCCAACCGACTGTCGAACGATTTGGTTTACGAGCACTGCAGTGCTGCTCCACTTGGCAACATTCTGGTGAATGCAAGATGGCGGTTGTTTGGCCACATCCTGCGATCAGATGAGCACACACCGGCTAGGGAGGCCATGAGTGGATTCTTTGGCTGCTCCGTGCCGGGATACCGTGGGCGGCCGCGGATCACGCTACCAGTCCTGCTGAATCAAGACGCGGAGCGAGTCGGCTGCCGTCTGAGGACTCCAAGGGACTTGCAGCTGATGGCTCAGCGAGCACTGGATCGCCGTGAATGGACATATCTGTGCAACGCAGTTACAGATGCGTACAAGGCAGAGTACTGGTGAAGGAAGTTGGCACTGCAATGGTTTGAGCTACATTCTTTGTTGTTGGTAAGTTACTCTGATTATCCGTATTATCCGTATTCACATGGCCTTTGCCATTCATTCAGTATATTAATGTCATCAATAATGATATTCTTGTTTGTATTAGTTTATGTGACACCATTTTCTATTTTTCTTTGCCTGCCTGCCTGCTGGCGGCCTTTTTTCGCATGGTTCGGTGCAAGCGAATTTGGGCGAGCCCATTGACGCGGGAGCACAAATAATAATAATAATAATAATACTACAGTCAGACCTCGCTTGACCGCACGTATCCGCTTTCCACAAAACAATATCCGGATAGGCGAGGGAACCGGATCAAAACAATAAATAGCCGAACACACATAGTGTATGTATGCATGACATATGCTGTAAATCGGTAACCAAAGATTTTCTTCCGGATGGCGAGGGATCCGGATAAAAGAGGACCGGATAAGTGAGGTCAGACTGTACTCACTTTTTATTCTGTCTATGTCTTGAGTGAAAAGGCGACTCGATCGCCACACAGCAAAATAGATTGTGTGGGGGAGATAATTATAACTACGTTAGACCACGTATAGCCATCGCGAATTCGCGGTTGATTTTTACCGCTTGGTAAAGTCGATCGACAGAAGTAGGAAATACCTTATGAACATCTGCCGTACTTCGTGACGCAGAATCCTGGCGAGAAGTCAATCGGTGGACAGGTTGATGTGACGTTTCAACATACGAGCTAGTGGGTCTACCCAATACACTGTACTATCCAGTCGCAGGACGAGCTGCAGTACTGAGAACTAACTTGACAATAAAAAAACGACATGTAAAGGCACTGATCCAAATGAATTCCATTACATTTATCGGCAACAATGGAAACATCGGCCTTGCTTTCAGCAGGGAGTTGTAAACAGAATAATCGCTGATATCACATGCACAGGAAAAAAGTAGAGATCTGCTCTCTCCCGCCTTAATTAAGGTACATGTACAACACATCACATACCCCAAAGAGCCAAACCCGAGATACTGAGAAGCGTGCAGGAAACGTCAGTCCTGAACAGGGTTGTTGTCGTGGTATCCTCTTTTGAGTTTGGATAAAAGTGTACTTGTATTAAAGGACAAAAATGTTACGACTTATGACTCACTGTCTACCAATATAACCAGAACATATTACTCCTTGTCATGTTGTCGCACTAGCTGACTCCATAATTATGATCTGAATATATTGGTGGACAGTTCGTCATAACTCGTAACATTTGTTGTCCTTACTCTAATCTACATGTACGTGTATAATAATTACATTGGCTCTTCTTCCGAGTTGAATTTATGAGTTTATTATTATCACTGTATTTGAATTTATCCTACATAACAGAGTTCGGACCATTGCTAACAGTAACTTGCAATAGTTGGGTTACACATTAAGGCGCTGGTGGCGCTAGTGACCGACAGTAGTTCTATAGGGACATGAAGAAAACAAAGCCCAGATAAGACGAAGACTACGATCACGACCATCATGACGACTACCACCGCCACTGGTGAGCAGCAACAGCAGCAACACGACCACCGCCACTGCCAGCAGCAACCATAGCCAGCAATCGCATGTCATCACGTACATTGAAAATCAACATAATTTTGCGAATCGACCTTTTTTTCAGGATCACTTTTCAACGAGGACGAAGCAAAGTCGGCCGAACGAAGCATAGAGGAAGAAAATCACCCTCTCGACTTCACCATCACGATACTGACATAGATACGAGATGAAACAACTAAAAAATCCACAAGAAAACTGTACGGCCATCATCGCGCTGACTTTGGTCTGACTTTGGTCTGAGAATTTCTATCACGATCAAAAATGTACAAGGAGCATTCAAAAATAAGCCACAGACGTACCTTTATCGCTTTCTACTCCTTTTTCAAGGCACAAAAGTCGACTCTCCACTATCAAACCAGGAACCAGACATACCAGTGGTCCTTTTCAGCTGCTCCACGAGCGCAGGAAATGTTCACCAAGGGGCGCAGAGCAGCATCCATTCCAGAAAAAGAGCTAAAATACGAGTGAGACTGCATGCCTGAGTACATGAGTACATGTATGAGTACATGCAGAAAATAGTCAATTTCAGCGTTTCTGCTCCAAACAGCAACTAGCTTCGACTAGAAACAAAGATTACACCAAAGGATCAAACAACAACCATTTTCTGCAGTTTTTTTGCAGATGGCTTCCTTGTGCTTGGCCCAGCACGTCAAAAATCACACCTCGGAGGAGTACAAAAATTACAACTCTCAGATGTCCTAGATTGCTGGCCATGACCACCACCATTGCCAGCAGCAGCAGCAACACCACCACCGCCGACAGGCTGAGTCACAGCAGCAGCAACATTCTTACTATTACGCCGCAGACCATTCCACTAACAAACATTAATTCATATAAACAACAGAATCAATACCGGCACCACCTCCAGCACCAGCACGACAGTCCAACATCGACGGCAGGAGCAGCAACAACCTCTTATTGCCAAGAGGATATTGCCAGAATGAAGAATAATGATTAAATTACTGGCACACACATATCCATGTAAGAAGGCCTTCGGCCTGTGGGAATGCCCTACGAGAGAGCTTGGAAGCTCAGGGCCCTACGCTATGCTTTTTTGCCTTGATGACCTAGACAAAAAAAAGCATAGGGATGTTATAAATTCTTTAAAAAAAAATTCTTTTTTTAAGACATACATGTAACCTGGGATTCGAACCCGCACTATCGCACTATCGCGCGCCCTGCATGCATCCCCCGATACACTTCACATACATACAAATTCTTCCAAGTTGTTTCACATTGTGATCTTGCAATTGAAAGCCCTATTTGAATATGCATTGTGGCCAGCCGTCTTTGATGGCACGGTACGGTAGGGGGATAGGTACGGGACAGGTACGATCGAGGGTAATACGACACCGTCTCCCGTACCGTACCGTACCATCAAACACAGCTGGCCACATACAGCTGCCTGCAATATTCAAATAGGGCTTTCAAACGCAAGATAATAACGTGAAGCAACTTGGAAGAATGGGTATGAATGCGAAGTGTATGGGGGAATGCATGTAGGGCGATAGTGCGGGTTCGAATCCCAGGATATGCCTGGAAAAAAAATAGGAGAATTGAAAAATTTATAACATCCTATGCTTTTTTGCCGTCAGATACGGATAGCGCCAGGCGTGACACAAAAAAACAAACAAACACACAAATACCAAACGAGAGAGCTTGGAAGCTCAGGACGTGACGCGCAATTTAACGTCAAATTTGAAATCGATTGGTTTTTTTGCTCTCACATGCATCCATTGCTCAATCATGCATCATTTGCATATGACAAACTTTGGCCTGCGATTTACTTTGGCCGGTTGGTACCAAGCGGCGAAATCAGCGAAATTAAATCGCCAGCGAAAATTAGTTAATTTTAATACAGTAATCGGATTTTCAGGCCTTTTTGCAGTAGGATCGCCAGATTCAAAAAAGCCGTCTAAAAGTTGCACTTTTATTTGCAGTCGCGGGAAATTTGAAGCCCTCCGTGGACGAAAATTCTCAAGGCAACAATATGCCGACGAAAACAAAGACAACCACCGCACTGAAAATACTCCACTTCGCTTGCATTCCGTACGCTCTACCCAATCCTACACATACAGAGTCCCCTGAGATTTTTTAGCGAAGGCCACAGATGAGAAATAGTGTCGTCTTCGTCGGCTCTCTGGAAGGTAAATCAATTCTTGGATTCAAAACGTCCCTCCGAAGATTTCGTGCCGCATTGTTTGGCACTAGCCGATTTCAATTCTTTTTGCATGTGTGCACAGATATTGCTTCCATCTGTCGGTGACAGGATTCTCTTTAGTGCCAGTTACCCGATTACTCTGTACTCGCCAGGTTTTCGGCTTGCCATATTTTTAGTGGAAATTCGTGTCATACAGTCATAATAATACTATACTCTCGTACTGAGTAGAAGGTGAACCTCTTTCAGTACTCGGTGTATGGTGTCAATGGAAAATAATACAAAAACAGTGATGGAAGCTGGCAACAATGGCACAATGATCACACCATAATAATAATTAATGAAAGGAAACGGCCAATTTCAATAATAGAAATGGGACGAACAACTTCTGGAGATAAACTTCATCCTGGTCAGCAATGCGGTCCAGATTGCGCAATTTGCAAACAGCCAACATACAAGTTTACACATCCACAAATGATACAGGACTGGGAAGCTATAAAGCTGTCAACAGCCGTACCAAATACTGCATGTGTATGCTGGCCTTGCGTGAAGGCACTGCGAAATGGCTGCCAGCGAGGAGCAGCCGGCAAACCGGCAAAGCCACTGTGCAGTGTTGACGACTGTGAGAGTGAAATGCACTGCCATGATGCATCCCAGCAGCCAATGTGCAACCTACATTATAACCAGGCATACAATAGACCTGCATGCGGAATGTGCAAACAGCGCCTACAACCACCGAGGCGGAAGTCACCAAACTTTCCTTCAATCCAGCATTTCCTGCAAGTAAACTGTGAGACAGAGGTCATACCGGAGGATTGGTACTGCACCACATGCTACAATGCCCAGCTTAATATACTGAGAGACATTGGCGGGACTGGTGATGACGCACCGGCCAGCACAGATCACCAGCTGCAGTCCCTCATCACTAGCATTGATCAGTCACTGGCACGTGGGCATGATGCGCAGCTGGTAGCTGAACGTTTCGCCGCTGAGCAATTGCTTCATCGGGGAGCTGTCCTTCTGGTGACTGTACACGAGGTGTATGAGGAAGCAGACAAGGAGCAAACTGGAAGGAACGCTAGGTGGCTGCTCTATCGTTTGATACATCGTCTTGACCACCATGCCTCAATTAAAAAACTTGGTGCGTCCCGGAAGCATGGAATCATGCTTCACCGAAATGGGTCAGACACGCTGCAGTCACTCTACTACTCCATGGTGGAGCAGCGACGGAATCTTCTACAGCAGAGGCAAGAACCAGCCGCCCTGAGCACAGCAACACATACAAGCAGTACCAACAACAGCGACAACTCCAGAATGGCTACACTGTTGGAAGAAGTGTCCACAATGATAAACAAGAAAGTGAAAGGACAGGCACAACTTTTTCATGGGAAAGAGTACGCAAATGGTACGGTACTATCCGAAGCAGATTTCAGTGATATCATTGCAGACATGGATTCAGATTTATGGCAGACAGTGTGGCGCATGGTGTACGGCAACGAGTACACTAATTGCCAAGCCACAGAGTCACAATTTGAACATACAAAGAAGATGCGCTGCCTTAACATTGTAGCATGTATGCTTCATGCATCAATGCCATCATGTACATACCCAATACATACCCTCCTGAGCGACGCCGTGGAGACTTATAGTCATTCAAACGAGCTGATGAAAATCCTTGCCAAGCTTGGAATAGTTGCTGGACGAGATACATTCGATCGCTACAAGATGGCAATGGTTGACCAACATATGTCCGCTGGAGTTCAGAAAGACATGATGTTGCATACATTTTCCCTTGCATCTGTGGATAATATCGACAAAGATATGCAGTGGCAAAGAGTGAGCTGCGAAGACAGCCGGCGTGGTTTCCATGGCACCACAATACAACACGTAAACCCTATGCCGATTACGTGTCCGGCGTCAACATCGCCAACTGACCTAATGCCCGGTCACAGTGACAGGTTTCTGTGCTCAACAAGCAATTATGAGCCAGCCACTAAGAGAACTCGCCGAAGAACCCAGAAGGAGCTCCAGAGCGCAGCAACAACCTCAGCTAGTGGTGAAGTAAACGCAGCAAATGTACAATCAACAACAGGAGGAGCAACAGAAGCAGCAATGCCATTGGAAGCATCAACAGCTGCAGCATGGTCGCCAGCAGTGGCAGCAGCACCACAGCCGGCCACAGCCGCACAAACTGATACAACAGCACAGCCAGCTGAAGTACCAGAAGAGCCAGTCGCAGCTCCAATCGTAACAGCATCAACGCAAATCTCCTCCTCATCATCAGCAGCAGCAACGCCATGTTCAGCCACAACAGCCACACCGGTACTAGCAAAACCAGTTGCAACAACAGGAGAGGCAACAGCAGCAACAGCAGCACCGACAATTGCAGCAGCTACGTCACCTGCAGCACCCAGCATTAACACAACAGCAAGAACTGGTGCAGTTACAAACATGGTTGTGGCGCCGTTGAATCAGGAGACATGCTTAAGATTTTCTGGCTCAGAATGTTGGTACGACAGGAGTGTACTTACACTAGACAATTTCAAAATGGGAGCTCAGGAGACCATCGAACTGGATCGCCTGAAAGAGCAGCTGAAAGCGTACACTTCTGCCGAGCAACAGACTGGCCTGAAACCGTTTTTCACGCAGGTATTCAAGGACAAACCTGCGGAAGAGTCTAACATTGTGTACCTCGGCGTAATTAACGAGCCAGCAGACTCCAAAACAACAATGAAGTCTGTGCTAGATAAGCTGCATGGCATCTACGGCGTTGGCAAAATTACAAAATGGCTTTGCGTGGTTGGAGACGGCAAAACTTATGACCATTTGCTAAACCTGCAGTCAGAGTACGGCAGTGAGCTCGATTGGGTTGTGCCATTCATTGGCGATTGGCACACGCTCAAAGCTCTGCAACCCGTACTGATGAGGGTGTACTGGGACGCGGGCCTGAAGCAACTTGCGAGAGCAATGGGATTCAAAGGTGAAGCTCTCACCAGCCTTGAGAAATGTGGCAATTTCCGGAAGACGCACAACTTCATTCTGTCTGCATACCAAGTGATAACAATGTCCTTGGACGCATGCTCGGCAACGTACAGCGATGCACAATGCAAGTACGATGAGGTGTGGGAATTTTGGAGTGCGTTCGCCAGCAGAGATTGCATTGTTTACATTGCTCTTTGGGTAGCCATTCGGTCACGCAACTGGCAACTGCGTATTGCAGCACTGAAAATGGCTGCCCCACTGTTTCATGCTCTGGACCGAACGTTCTATTTGCGGTTGGTGCCAAGACACCTAAGCCACATGGGCGCTTTGCCACAAGAGATCCAGCAGCATTTCCAGAATGGAGGGTTTGCGGTTGGCCTCTCGAAGACGTCATTCAACACAGTTGGAATTGACGAGGCACACGAAATGTGCATTAATCGCAACTTAAAAAAAGCGCTAGTGACACCTGATGCGGATTACTTCGACCGTCAAGTGCACTACTTGCCACAAAGAGCGCACATGATGTCCAATCTTTCAGCACAGCTCTTTCCCACAATTAACCCAAGCAAAGAGAAGAGTACATCCGGAGCCACAAGCGGGACCACTCCAAGCGAAGCTGTGTTTAAAGGCAACTGCCAAGCCATGGAGAAACTCCTAACAGATGCAGGCCTGTTCCACAACAATGGCCCACGGGTACTGCACAACGTGTTCACTGGTGAAGTGGCTACGCAAGAAATGAGAGCAGATTTGTTAAGTTTTTACAGTACTGGCACACGGACATACCTTGCGTATGTTGAGAGTCGGATCCTCCGCATCCCAAGCGCTAGCCCTCCTCAACGACAGCATCGATTGCGTACCTTTGCAAAGGCAAGCGAGAGGAAGAAAGCCCACAGCCAGAAAAACAAAGACAACAAACTGGTCACAACGTGCCTCAAACGCCGCCTTGCTTTCTCGCAGACACATGGCACAACTGCAAATGGCATTGGCGAACAGCTGATTGTGACACCCCGTGCTCTTACAGACGATGGCAGGCTGCCAAGGAAAGGTGTTAAATCGACTGTCACTAAATTCTTTGAAGGCCGGTATGATGGTATCATCACAGCAAAACTTCCCTCACAGATGCTAACAGCTACGACAGCCATCATCCATGATGCTATGTTCGTGATTAACACCTCACCAATCGGTACTCACCGGACATTCGCGGATTATGCCACGTTCCTCATCCAACGGTGGATCACGCCTTGGTATAGGTTGGGCATACAGTCGGTTCACCTGGTCTTCGACCACCCAAACGTAGCTGGTGTCAGCCCAAAGGATCTTCTCCGAGAGCAACGTGATGCCGTGGGCGATGCGTCTACCCTGTGCACATCAGAGCTGTGCTGCAACCATGAGTCAATCACTGGAGACATGGCACTGCCAAAGAGCTGGAGGAAGTTCTTGTCTTGTCGGAAATGCAAGAGAATGTTAGTTAATTTCATTACCACATTTAGCCTCTTCAATTCCCTGCACTTTCTCCGGCAACCGCATCAAGCCTTTGTGACTGGAGGTGGCTTGGACGGGGAATTCACTGGCAAGGCACTTGGGACAGCGTACGGTGATCCAGTGGTAAAACAGCTAGACGTGTATGCGTCCGATGCAGAAGAGGCCGACTCTCGAGTGTGGCGTCACGCGGCAGCAAACGACCCAGTAGTCGTGTACAGTCCAGACACGGATACCTATCATGTCGCCCTATCTGGACGGGAAGTCGCAGACAGAAGTATAGCTGTACAACTGGATATGCCTGGTGCACCGGAACGGAAGTTTTTGCTCCTAAGCAAATTGGCCAAGGCCATCAATGGCGATCCAGATTTGGCCAAGGTGCCCAGCGATAGTCGTCTGATGCTACTGCAAGCACTATTCGTTCTGACTGGGTGTGACTACTTGTCCTACTTCTCTGGCATCAGCAAATTAACATTCTACAAGATCATGTTCCAATATGCTTCATTCATCACGAGCGGCGTGGATGCATTGGGACTGCTGAGTGACACACACAGGCAGAACGGACAGCGTGGATACTTGGCATTCCTACGACTCGTGGGCACAGCATACTATCAAAAGCATGTTGCAGCTTTTGAAGCCAACAGCCCGCACGCATTGTTCAAACAACAAGCTACAGAGACACCAGTCGACCAGCACAATACCTGGCTGTCAAAGATCAGGGATGCTGTTTGGCAACGAGTTGATGCGGAAGATGATTGTGTACCATCAGCGTCTGCCCTGCTTCTTCACTGGAAACGTGCTTGCTGGGTATTGGATATGTGGCGCCAGGCTGAGCGACCCACAGTACAGTGCCCACCATTGAATGGAAATGGGTGGCTTTTGTGTGACAATGCACTTTCTATTCATTGGGAGCTAGAGGAGCATGCAGAGGTGGTGAGGCAACGGGTCTTGGCTTTGACCAAGGGTTGCAGCTGCAAGAAGGGTAGCTGCGAATCAAAGCGATGCAAATGCCGGAAATCTGGCAAAATCTGTGGTCCTGGGTGCAAATGTCGCCACTGCACCAACACGGGCAGGCTTGTAGTGTCCCTGGAACACAGCAGCAGCAGCAGTGAATCCTCCAGTGACGATGAATCTGAACAAACCCAACAACAGCAAATCACAGTGGGTGATAATGAGAGAGGCACAATGGCCATGGAGAGCCTAAATGGTGACATGGACAGTGACAATGATATCACATGCTGACGTACAAGGTATGTTGATATATGACGGTAGTGGTACAGTAGCAGTAATGAGATGTTGATCTACGTTCACTTTCAGAGCTGCGGATCCATTGGGATAACCAATTAACACCACAACTGGTGATACTGCTCCTTATTTTAATGGCATTCAGTGGCATGATAGGAGTTATCAGTGTAAAATTAATCTTGGCCATAACACACATTTAATTTCATGAAGAGGCTTCACTAGTTAGAATGTTAGATGTGTTGGCTAGGGTTTACCGGGTGTTAGCGGCCGTCGTGAGTTCCCTTCCGGAACGGACACGATAATTTACTTTACTTCCAGTACATGTTCCACTCTACGTCTCTTCCATATCATCCATTCAAATAATTCTGACAAAGGATTCGACGTTGTATCTTTTCTGTGCCCTACACAGCTTTATACGCACGTCCTTCTGACTAACACATCACAGTAAAAATGAAGCATATAATGACGTCAATACTATCAATGTGGCAAGAATATTAATGGATCAAGCAAGATCGTTGCTGCCAAACAGATCAGGGCACCACTGATTGAAACTTACTATTTCAGGTCGAAGCATTATGGAATACACGGTAAGTACCTTATACCCTTCGCTCTTAGTCACCAGATACATTACATATGCATATCCACCTTCATTAATTTACTGGTGTATTATTTTAGCAAAACAAATTCATCAGCATTATGGAATGCACGACAATTACTTTATACCATTCGCTCTTTGTCAATAGATGCGGCAGACATGCATTGTCCATGATTGCTATGCTAAACAGAGACATATTGCCCCTGATTATGCGAAAATATTAGTCGTGATTTTTCACATAATAGCAACACACCTTTGGGAATTTCGTGCCGCGTTGTGTGGCAAGCACGTACACTGCTTTCTTTTGTTGCTTGATAAACTAGAGTGTTGCGGTAACCTACCCACCAAGTGGCTTTAGTGCCAGTTATACAGTTTTCACTTACCAGCCAGTTCTTTCGAGCCCAATGATTGATGAATGCAAATGGAAATGACGAGTGTCCAACAAACATCAGCCGTGTAACTGCGCTTCACGCAGCCCATCCTCAAACTAATATCATATTGGGGTAGAAGGTATCCCTACGGAGTCGAAAACACCCTTTGATTGCCCTTGGCCGGCCTCTGAGACGACGAGGGCCAGGCAGAGTCCTCCACAAATTTCGGAATTTCGGCCATTCCTGAAGGCCTGAAAAGACAGCGTCATGGGGGCTTTGTTTCCCGCGGTTGCAAATAAAACTGGCCCTTGAGTAGGGCTTGGCGATCCTACTGTTTGTAGCAATACATGTACATTGACCTGTTGAGCCAATGACGACGCCGAATGCATGGTTGCCTGTGGAGCACATTACATAGCTTTACAGTCTCCTAAAATACGTAACCTGTCCGACGGCAAAAGAGGCCGCAGATTTAGTTTTTCTGCGCGTCGACGGGATGTCTGCGACGCGAAAGTTCAGTTCGTGTTATTTTGGTCGCACGTCGAAAAATCAACGCGAGCGACCTGCTGCTCACGTCGAAATTTGGACATTACATAACTCTACAGTCTCCTAAAATACGTATCCTGTCCGACGGCAAAAGAGGCTGCAGATTTAGTTTTTCTGCGCGTCGACGGGATGTCTGTCCTGACGTTTACTGGGACCGCTGACTCTGCCGATCACGGGCGTTCTGTACTCGACGGGATGTCTGTCCTGACGTTTCCTGGGACCGGCTTAGACTCTGCCGATCACGGGCGTTCTGGACTCAACGGGATGTCTGTCCTGACGTTGCCTGGACCGGCTGACTCTGCCGATCACGGGCGTTCTGGAGTCGACGGGATCTCTCTTCCGACGTTTCCTGTGACTGGCGCTGAATCGCTCGTTCACGCTTATTTTGGACACGACGGGATCTCTCTTCCAAAGTATGTTTATGCTGGTGCATCCTATCACCTATTCGGCGTCTATTCTAATTTAATTTCCTCCTCGTCTCCCTATTTCTTTCCAAATCTCCCTCTACATCAGGGAGTCGTATACATAATACGACGAATATTGGTACGGTACGGGACAGATACAGGAGCCCGCAAATATTGTGGACAGCTGTGATGTACAATCCTGTAGAGCCTTTGTAGTCACAGCTACAGATACGGGACAGATACGGGACAGATACAAGATAGCTCCAGCCGTGACACAAACAAACAAACAAACAAACACCAAATTAAAGCTGTGTGGACCCTGGCTAGCGCCAGACGTTACTGAAGTAACGTCTTCTGCATAGCTACGGGAATTAAAAAATTAATAAATAATAATAATAATCCATGTACATGTATACATGTATACCCGAACAGCGCTAGCCATGAGGGCACATACATGTATCTGCCAGTATGCCAATAATAGAGAGCTTTTTTTTTTAAAGATGCACGCTATTTCTGACGTGACGGGAAAAGCTCAGCTCGCCTTATTTAGCTCGCACGTTGGAAAACAACGCGGGCGACCTGCAGCTCGTGTCGAAACCTGGAGTTTTACGCCAAATTTGACATGAAATTGCGCGTCCCGTCAGAAACAACGTGCATCTTAGCCTCACTATTAAATAAACAGATAATGTTACATGCGTAACAATTGACCTCTTGACTTTCCAAGTGTTTTTTTCGAAGGAAGGTCAAGAAGTCAAACAGCGTGGTTTATTATGTGCACTTGACAGGCTGTTATTTCAAATGGTGAACGGTACTATTCGGCCAATAAAATGTAAAGAACTCTTCCTCTCCTCCATGCGCTCTCACGGCCGACTCACTGCTACCCTCGGTAGCCATTACACACACCAACCAAGGAAGGGTTGCGGATAGATACTGAAATTCCTCCTGACAGCTGTTTCGCCTTCATAGGGCTCATCAGCGAAGGTGATATTGAATAGGATGATATCAGGTGGAGATGGTCAGATTTAAGCGGGATTCACAGAAGCTTTTTTGCGATGCGACAGGCGCGAAACCGGGAAAACCCCAAATCGCAGCCATGTCGCACTCCACTCCTAGTGCCGCAACTGGGCCATCGCAGGCCATCGCAGAAGTTGAGCTTGGCTCAACTTTTGCGATGCGATGCGATGCGACAAGCGATTTGGCGTACGATTTTGACCTTTTCTACAGCAAAGTTGTACAAAGGTTCAAGAGTTGCCTATAAAATTTAATTTGTATCAAACCGCGCGAATATCATGGTGACGTAGCCAAATCAGCAAGATGTTGTCGCATCACTGACTTTTTCTGTGAATGGTATTTCGCGAGTTCGCATCGCACGCGTCCGTCGCAGATCGCGTCGCATCGTAAAAAAGCTTCTGTGAATCCCGCTTTATACTACAAAACATGGGCGCAAGATTACGGGAAAAGTGTGAGAATGAGAAGTTGCAATTCTCCAGCAACACAGTGCCAGGGTTCCAAGAAAATGGCAGGTGATAAATGCAATCACCAGCTGCTAACATTAATTTTCTAACGGCTAGGTGATAGTTTAAGAATTTTGGCGCCACCAAACAAAGTGAAAGAAAGTCATGTAACGTTAGGGTGCGTTCTTAAATCCTCTCGGAAAAGTTGGAGACTCTCCGAAAAGTTCGAGAGCTGTTCTTATATCCTCTCCGACTCTCCAAGCTCTCCAAGCTTCACAGTCCGTGCGCCAAGGGGTGAGGTATATTATGCTCGGCAGGCCGCGAAAGAGAGCCCGTTACCTGGACCCCTACTCGCGCGGGTAGAGCGAAACTGAGCACCCTGGGATGCGAGCAGCTTTTTACTTTTAGTACTCCCGGGTCCAAAATCTCACCACCAGGCCGGGATGATCAAAACGTCTGCCGGGTCTGCAGCCTACAAACGTGGATCTGCCGACACTGTGCTGTCGACGACATGTCCGGCAAGGCACCTCCTTGCGTGAAAGCAAGGAACGCTTTTTTTTTAGAAAGGAAGCTTCTTCTCCAAAATTTAAAAAATTTGAAAATTATTCCTTCTGAAAATATCATCGCGTTCTTGACCTCGAAGCTGACTGCTGAATGCGATTAGGAAAGAAGATTCCTGAAGATACACCAGACTGATTCTGGCAAGCCGTCTGTCGTCTAGATATGCAGTTGTTCGTCATGCATGGTCAGCAATCTTCCTCGTTCGTCCTTTCGTTTTCCTGACCACGATGATGACAAGCAGCTCTCATGCTCAGGTTAGTGCTGTACTTGTATGTCTGGGCACACAACACATCTGAGATTCACCCACTGACGTTATCGAACTGAAGAATGCAGCAAGGGTTCCTCGGATTCTCTTGATTTCGGAACAAATTTCCTTCACTTTCACCCTCTCAGTCTCTTCCCCATGCCCTCCATGCATGCACAATGCAGCTTGCATTTCAATTGCTGTTTTTTATACTTTGGCAGTGCCTCTGCTACACTTTCATATAGAGTGAGGTCCTGTAAATAGGATCGAACATTGTTGGTGGTGGTGTGTGTGGGGGGGGGGGGGGGGGGTACGTTTGCAGCCAGGATGTAGGAATGACACTTCTGCACAGCAGGTGGCAATAGTCAAAACTGGTCACTCTACAAATCCCATACCTGCCAACCTTTGCAAACCTGAGATCCAATGACATACCTAGGCATGAAAATGTATACAAAAGAAGCTCGCGGTGAGGCATGGAACTAGTGCACTTTTGGGTGCCTATTACCGCCCTCGATATCGGGACGGTCCCGGCCAAATCGGGATGGTTGTCAGGTATGAAATCCCAACCGAGAAAACCATTTAATTAAAAGATAAACTCGGCCAGGACATAGCGACTTTCTGTTTGCCGGGGGGGGGGGGGGGGGGAGGGTCATCGTCCGCAATATTGGTAGAGTTACGATTACATTGTATATGTAGATACATGTGCATCAGGGATTCATAGCACCTGGGGAGACGACATGAGACCTAAGTACCCAAAACGTTGTGAGTTGTGACCCCGGATGGGGTAGTTCTACGTGATCTGTGTTTCTATAGACCTTATTCGATAACGTGATTTTTGGACTCGCCTCCAGGGATTTGTTGTAAGCTGGGGCACGCGTACGTGAAACGAGTGGCAAGAAAGGCCCAGTTCGTACAAGGGAGTAGTAAAATACCGGTATTTTTCTACTCCTATGTTCCCACGCCGAGTCCACTGTGCACTGAGTGCAGGTCTCTTGCCGCTCCCTGGTTCCCGGGACCCTGGTTCACGTGATTGTGACGTTTATTGAATAAGGTCTACATGTACATGTATATGCGGGCATGCATAAATCAACCCTTCCACAAGGACGGCTCAAACAGGCAGCCAAGGAGTGAAAATTTCACTCCTGGGGCTAGGAGTGAAACGAAGGCCTCAATTTGCCAGATGAACCTTCTCCATCGAAACGAACGAAGGTGTCGAATAATTCTTTTACCAGTTCACAGTTGCCGTTCACGCGCACTCCCCGGGGTGGGGGGGGGGGGGGCTACTATGCACTTGTAGTGATACTTACCGTAAGCCAAGTGGAACACGACTAGTTGACTGCACAGACTACAGTACAGTATACATGCACATGTATACAGTGAAGATCAGTGCGTGCATGCCTGCCATAATCGTATGTTGACCTTCGTTCGAATTGAAAAGAGAGGGTCGTTTCGAAAAAGAAAAAAAGCTCGATGGAAGTATGATGCTGCTGACAATTCAAGACTCACTGAAGTCGCCTTTCTGGAATGGATCATGCACTCTAGGTTCATCCAATTGGATATGGACTCAAATCATTGTTACACCATTATTGTTTGGTTAGTTATTGTACATCCCATAGCATGTACAATCAACCTTGTGAATAATCTACCTCGGGTTTACAAAACAACTCGCAAATAACGACACAATCTTCAGATCTAGTGAACATTTGATTGCATACTTCCAACCTCACGAGTAACAACAATGCGAATAGCGACACTTTTCTCATTCACAATCGAGGGTCAGTATTCCCCAGGTTGACTGCAATTGCCAATCAAACAGGAGGGGCGAAAGTCAACCACGGCTGAAAAGGCATAAAGAAAAATTAATGTATATCATGAGCTAGATGGCTGAAGGAGGAAGTAGGTTTTCTGAGAAAGCAAGAAACAGAGGTGAATGAAGCACCAGGTCTGTCCATGCAGTGGATAGAATTATTGCATTGAAAGACAGGCTCTTTACATCAGCTTGCTACTATTATACCTACATTTGCTTTCTGCCTTTTTCATGCAGGATTCTGAAAGCTGGAGCAGCTCTGCTTACCTCGACCACTGAACTTACAACTAACTTCCAACCAAGTACAAGGCAG